CATACATAAGATATGATGTGCACTTAAGCTTCTAGGTGCAAAAGTTCTCATATAAATGCTATTTAGCCAATTACTAGTTGACCCATACAAGATGAGAGATTCTATCTCATTGTTAACTGAAATGATTAATTCAGCAAATTAGCCCTTCATCATAAATAGAAAATGATTACCTGAGGTCTCATGAATTCTTCAAAGGGAAAATTGCACCAAAATGGAACCAACTTTCACCTAATTCCTATTTTGGGGAACCAACTTTCAAAATCGTCATTTTGGAGAACCAACTTGCACCTGATTCCTATTTTGGGAAACCAACTTTCAAAATCGTCATTTTGGGGAACCAACTTGCACCTGATTCCTATTTTGGGGAACCAACTTGCAAAATCGTCATTGTAGGGAAGCAACTTGCACCTGATTCCTATTTTGGGGAACCAACTTGCAAAATAATTATAGAAAAATAATTAAAATTCATTTTTTCCAAAAATTAATGAAATAAAATCTATTTTTCATTTCAAATCTCGTTTTTTTTTAATTCGGATATCAAATTGAACATTTTTAAAAAAAAATCCAAATTACCACAATAAAAATTGTTTTTTACTAATGCAAAAAAATTAAAGTTAATAGAAAAAAAATTAATTAATGCAATAAAAAATAAATATTAAATATCACATTCAAGATTTTTATATCTAATCAATCCGTATCAATTAATTTTTTTTCTATTAAATTGATTTTTTTTGCATTAGTAAAAAACAATTTTTATTGTGGTAACTTGGATTTTTTTTTAAATGTTCAATTTGATATCTGAATTAAAAAAAGAGATTTAAAATGAAAAATAAATTTTATTGCATTAATTTTTGGAAAAAAAAACGAATTTTAGTTATTTTTCTATAATTATTTTGCAAGTTGGTTCCCCAAAATAGGAATCAGGTGCAAGTTGGTTCCCCAAAATGACGATTTTGAAAGTTGGTTCCTCAAAATAGGAATCAGGTGCAAGTTGGTTCCCCAAAATGACGATTTTGAAAGTTGGTTCCTCAAAATAGAAATCAGGTGCAAGTTGGTTCCCCAAAAGACGATTTTGAAAGTTGGTTCCCTAAAATAGGAATTAGGTGAAAGTTGGTTCCATTTTGGTGCAATTTTCCCTTCTTCAAACTATGGATCCATAACGACCCCTAAAACAGTAGGAAGGAGGTTATCTTAAATCAAAAGATGAACCTTTCCTTCATAACATCTCCTTTTGCCGGTTGCAAAGTATAATCGAGCATTATGGTTTTCTAACGTGTGGTCTTCCTAGATTCACATGCCAGATCTCTCTATATAAAAAAAAGAGATACTTTAAGCCATCTAAGGAGT